ACACGAACACCCGGACATCATGCGCAACCGCAACCGCCGCAAACGTCACTTCTTTCACCCCTCGCTGCCTTCATCTCGCGACTCAAGTCGAGTCGACGTCTGCCCAAACATAGGCACGCCGGCCTGCCAGCCAGCGCCGTCTTGTCAATAAGTCATTTTCGGTCCTGCACTGCACCCTGAAGAACTGGTCACGATCAGAGGTAGCGTCCTGCGGGCCCTGACACATCTTCCATGCCGACCGACACATTGCGAGTCACGAGCCTCTGGCCCTGCAGCTTTTGCAGCAAGGGATGTGGAAAAGCAAATTTGAGGCCATGACAGTCAAGCAGGCAGGCAGGGGGCGAGGAAATGAAGAGAAAGAAGAACAACAAGAGGAGGTTGCATATTCACAATAGCGATAGAATTCTTACTTTGCCCAGCCTCCCCGTGCGCATGCACGCACGCGATGAATGGCGGGGACAGGCAAGGAAGGTCATGCCGAGGCGGCCCTGAGCGAGCACCATACCTATGTACAGCATCTCGACGTAGGGTCTCTCCGGCGCCGCGATGGTCCGTCCAGTCAACGTTGTTTGCTTGTCGCCTTTCTCGAATGCGACGGATTCCCTTGCCAGTTCTCTCTCCTGATTCCGGTCCCGTATCGCTCGTCGACCATCTGGCTCATGATAGTCCACATGCAGAGCTCGCAGGAAAACAACATGTTCAAGAGGCAAGAGAAACAGAACGAAGGAGAAGAATTGGTACGCAAGCCCAAGTGGAGATTCTGCAACAGAAGCGCTTCCATGTCCCGTTTTCGTTGGCCTGCCACCCCTTATCCCGTCCCATGTCTCCTTCGACCCCATCCTTCAAAACTCCAAGCATAAAGCAACGCTCTTCTTGCGGCTGGCCATGCTCTGCGGCAAATCGACAAACAAGGTAAAAATGCAGTGCAGGGCTGGGCTTGATCCTAAAAGATCCCGCAAAGCCAAATGGAAAAGGGGGCCCACCCCCCGAGAACCATGCCGCCCAGAATAGCCATCCGGCTATGTTGCCAAATCCGTATATCCACAAGAAAAAATCCCTCCCTGAAAACCCAAAAAATGAATAATGGCACAGGTCCAAAGCGGGTGTAAATATGTGCAGTTGTAGAAGTGAAGTTGAATAGACAACAAGAACTTTCGACCATGGTCTCGCGTTCGTCTCAAATTTTTGATTCGCCCATAGCTCGCTCAGATGTTCTTCACTCAGGTCGAGTTGCCGTATGCTCCGGGCCGAGAAGCTGGCCCGCCTCCAGGCATGGTGAAGCTTCGCTTCCTCTTCAAGGCCGATCCAGAACCGAAATCTGTGCCGTAATCGCTGCGGTGCTCGGTCACCTGGTGACCACCAGTGAAAGTGTCTCGCATTGGGGTCCTGACGCTGGCGCCTTGGAATGCCTGGGCAAAATCATGTGGAGGCGCGATGGGTGCGCTCATCTGAGGCATCGAGTAGTCGTGGACACCCGATCGGGGGCCGGTGCTTGCGCTGCCGGGAGTGCGGGGAAGTGCAAAGTCCATGGGTGCAGTCAGGGGTGCGGAGGGGTAGCTGGCTGTGTAGCTCGGTGCAGAGGTGCCGCTGAAGTGCGATGTGCGGAGGAGAGGTCGCGGCTGCTGGCAGAGTGAGCGAGGAGGATCTATACTGGTTGCGAAGATCGAGCCCAGGGGAATGTCGCCGAGGAGCTCTGTTTCCGCAGTCTGTTCTGGAGTGGACTGCAAGCTGGAGGGTTGGTAGCTGGCGTAGTTGATGTTTGGCGGAGACTGAGAAGCGTGGGCTACGTGGCGGCGTTAGATGTAACACTACAACAGTTATCAGATACAACAAGAAGCTCACTGGAATACGAGGCCGAGTCGTAGCCGATGCCGCTGGAGCCTGAGGAGCCGCTACTTAGTTGTTCCGGCTGGTAGACTGATTGTTGACGACCGCTCATCTGTGGCTAGTACTGCCACCGGCTAGGTAGTATAATCTATCGAGTCTCCTTTCCATGACATGCCGGATCGGAGAGGTGACTGCAAATTGTCGGACCGTGACCTTGACAGCGTCTCGCGAAGATGGAGCGGTTGAAGCGACGAGCGTGTTGTCGGCCATGCATCATGGACTGGTCTAGGCTGGTCTGTCGACCAAAGGCATTGGTTGGTCTGTGCCCGGCACTCGTGGGCGAGAGGTGACTGCTGTATCCGTATCGGTGATCGTGGACCGTAGGGGACATGGGAGATAGTATATCAGAGTTGCTTAAAGAAGCCGAGGCGCTGAAACCGATGTTTCCAAAAGCTGGGCTCAGACCGGTTGGCGACATGTGGTCCTCTGCCTCGCTTCGTCGCACGTCCACCATCAAAGGTCTCATCATGTGGTCGCTGTATGCAGAGGAGCCGAACTCAACAGGTGAAGCCATTGGGGCCCCGAGCGCATGGACCGCGCCGTATGGTGAGTGAAGAGCCTGCACGTTGTCAAAGTCGTCAGGCACAGCTCGCATTTTGATCATGCGGTCACGATCATCTGCCGTAAGTCGCTTGATCTTGGCACGGCTGACAGAGGTCAGTGAAAGGGGTCAAGGTCCAAGGGCAGGCGTGTTTTCATACCGGTTCTGGAACCAAACTTGGACCTGTCGTGGGCTCAGGCCAGGGATTTCTCGGGACAAGCGTTCCCTGTGGGCTGCGTCAGGGATGCGGCTGCTTTGCGAACTCGCTCATCAGAAAACGAGTCTGCTGGTGGGTAAGACTGCTTGGTGTTAGGAGCTGGCCACGACTACTGTGCATGCAGTTGGTATTATAGTTGCTTACCGGAAACGCTTCATCTTCCTCCGTTGGGCAGTCCTCTCTGCTGCGGTCTGTGGCTGGCCTGACGGATTCTCGTCGCCATCCATGTCATCATCGTCGAAGACATCATCATCTTCTTCCTTCAGGAGGACAGTCTCTTCCTCGCTGGCGATCGGGACCGACGAGCTCACTGGCTCTTGGTCCGTTTGGACCGCAGAGGCTGCTTGCGCCGATGCCATTGGAAAGCTGGAGGTGTCCTGAGCCATCGAGTGTGGCTCATTTGCTGGAGCCGTTGCTGTTCTTGGTGTCGAGGCCTCGAGATGGTGTTGTCCCGGCTGCTCCACGGAGGGAGATCGTTGCTTGATGACTGGTGATAGGGCCTCTGGACTCTTCTGATGGGCTTCGGGTGAGCTTGCATCCAGCTTCACAGAGACGTCCAGCTGGCCAGGCCCACCAGCGGTAGATCGCGGCTGCGAAGCACCCGCGCTCTCATTTCTGGCTTCGTACGGTTGGGAGAAGATGCTGCTTTCGGGAGCCAAGTATGAATACTGTCCCTGCCAGCCAGGTTGCGTAGACAATGGTGCGTCGAGGTGGTTAGACATGCGTGAGGAACTGCGAGATGGCTTCTGAGAGGTGGTCTCAAACTTGTTGAAGGACCAGTGGCTCGATTCGGTATCAATATGCCTGGTAACTAGCATTGGAAGGGCTGCGGGTTGCTGAGAACGTGGTGTCTTTCTGGGTGGGTGGGACCGCGGTCTGGTGGGCAGACGCAAGCGAGTGACAAAACGCTGGACTGGACTGCTGAAGGAGCGGCGGTTGGACGGCCAGGGGCGGTACGCAAGTCCAAGGGACTGATTGCCTAGATGGAGATCCCCTGAGCCGGGTAGGGGCGTCCTCGACCTCTTCGAAGAGCTAACTCGAGGAGGAAGAAGAAGGGGCTGGCGAACGGGCCTCGTGAAAAGGACCAAGTCAGATGTCCCTTCGAGATGGCGGGAGAAAGGGAGGAAGAGGGAAAGAGAGACAACGGCTAGTGCTCGATTTGACCGTGTATGCAGCCAGACAAATCACTCAGTTGGGCGGACTTCGTTGTTGACCCAAAGGGGCAGAGAGATACGGGTAGGCGGGTAGTTCTCCGAAGGCTCCAGACCCAAGACGGTCTATGCGCGATGTAGAGCGGAGGATGGTGGTGGAAGGACGGGTGTAGTTCGGGTCGATCCGCGAGGAGAGATCAAAAAGGAAGTGCCGTGGTCGAAGTGCCGGTGTGTTGAAGTGATGGGATATCGCTCGGAATGAGTATGTGTACCTGGTAAGGAGAGAAGGTCTCAACGTGAAGGAGTGTCACTTGATGAGTTGAGAGAGAAAGGTAGGACTTGGCGACCCCAGGTTCCACGAGGCAGGATGTTATAATGTAGAAATTCGAGGGTGCGCCAGACGACGGTATGCGGGGGGTCGATCGACCAGAGGCGTCCTACATCTGGAAAGTGTCAGACCGCCCATCAAGGATGCCACAGTCTGAAAGGCAACAAGCCGCAAGGACCATTGCTCAGGAACCCCCTGTTTTTAGAATGACGGAGGTGGGAGCAATACCGAGGGGGGGCCGCTGTTCCTTGCGGAGAAAAGTCGAGGCAGGATCCGACGAGGCGTGCAGGGCATGCACGGGGCAGGGCCTCTGGCGCAGTGATGGACCTTGTCGTGATGGGGTCGTATGGGGGGCACCCGGTACATGGATGAGGGTTTGGCGACACGCTTGCAGCATATCAGATCTCTGCTCCGAATCATGGCAGGCAAAGCACACGCCGAGTCATCTGTGCGCTGCTTGTCTGCCTTATTTGTTTTTACCATTGCTTCTTGCGAGACAACACGCACCCTCTGTTCACACGGAGACGTTGTGCGCACTGCGGGCGGCTGACCTGCCAGCGTTACTTCGTCTCGAGATCGCTGAAAGGCACACACACACACACACATGAGTGTGAGTGAGAGAGCGGCCGTCCAGTCTCCCCCCGCCCGGCTGAATGGCTAATGCAGTACCATGGTGGCATGGGACCAGACGATTGACTGCGGCGAGCAGCGCGGCGCGGCGAGACATAGAGCCTGGCCCGTGTTGACCAGAGATGGCCAGGCCAAGACCAGGGGTGACAAGATGGCAGATGTTCTTGGGAAAGTGGCAGTGGTTGTCTCGACGTCAGTCCACGAAGGGTAAGCCTTGCTTCGGAGTGCTGAGAGAGATTCGGTCCCCACCTGGCCAGGATATGGCGAGACTGAAGCCTCGAGCCTGATTCAAGAGCGCAAGCGCGTTCCACCCCCTTCCCTCAAGCAGCCCGCCGAGGTTGGTTTCAGAGAGCTCGCGGACACCCAAACTGCCCTCCCGCCCACTGCAGATTGGTTGCCGTAAATCGGCGCCTTCT